GCCATAATGTTCTTTATGAGGGGAAGTACAGTAGATGGTGCATCCTTCCAATTCAGCTCGCTACCAAAACAAAAGAAACTGTAAATAATAACACAGATAAGAAAAAGGATACTATGTTAGTAATATAATTGAGGTAAATTATGTTACGTTCCCGTTTTACTTCCATATGGTATGCGGCTAAAGTCCATCCTTACTACTCCCAAAGTGGCATTGTTGAGGAACTACTAGTGCTACTGTTTTTGCTACTCACCCTAAGACACATGAATTTCTACTTTGTATTGTCAATGTTGAGTGCAAAAACTTGTTTGGGAATGGCAATTTTCTGAAGGATAATCTACAAATAGACCATTTATCTTTATTACAAAGAGGTCACAACTATTCTCACATATTAGATGGCAAATTGGATGACTTGGAGTGATTCATGAAGTCCGAATTTTTTTTTTTGGAACTTTATGACTATTAATTGACACTCTTATAGCCATCCATTCTAAAATTTAAAGGAAAAAAATGATTGTGACGTCCTTGTATACAAAATAAATGGTCTCTTTGTAGACAATCTCTTTTCTGATTATGCATGTAAAACGTCCACCACATTTCAGTAAGGAGCATTCAATATATTATGCTCATATGCGGCAAGTTGAAATGCAGAAGAACAAGTAATGCATCTGCCATTCATCTGGGAAAACAGATAGCGGAGATGAATGGGGCACATCGCACAAACTTGACAGAGTTTGGATAAAAGGTTCCTTTATCTCAATAAAAAATCTGAAAAAAAAAAAATCAATAATTGTATCCCAAAAGGTTCATTTATCTCAATAAAGTGGTTTGAGTCAATTAGTAAATTTAATAGGGTCCGGGAAAGTATGCCATCCACCAATAGTAGGTGATTATAACCACCTATTTTTTTGGGTAGTTCGGCAGTAGGAATTGAACTTGAGATATAGCATTGCAAAATGTCAGCTGCTAACCAATCAAGCTCAACCCCAATTCCTATAGGCCACTATTTATTACACTAAATTTAAAAGATGGTTCAAATCAAGTGGATCTATAAACACGTGAAAATCTAGAAAATGGACGGTCTAGATAATACGTTCTGGTTTTTGTACTCAAAATCTTTTTTTTTCTATACTCAGACGTCTCAATCTTGAGAAGATCTATGAAATGGTTTTCCAACATCAAAATAACCATTTTTGATGGATTTTTAAGATGTACCTTAATTCTACATTTTAAAATTGCGACCTTAAATTATTTTTTCCGAAGGATCTATGATATATCTATATATATATATAGAGGTGATCTTTAACAGTGTAGGATATCCCTGCATAACCGTTAATTATAAAAGCTCTAGGCCACAATAATACAACCTAGCATTAGTGTGAATGTAAAAAAAATTCCTTTATATTTTGCTCTCTAATATAAAGAAATACAAAAATAAAAAGGGGAAAAAGGAAGCTCATACTTGCATGAAAGCCATGGATACTTTAGCCCAGTAACGTTAGCATGGAGTGCCTTTTGGACTTGGGGAAGATTCAGATACATTTCCACGTAATAATCTGTGCAAGGATCAAATTCCTGCATACAACCACTCATTCATTAGTAGAGAAGACAGGGAATGGAGTTTCATAGACACTGTCGCGAGTGTTTAAAAGTCCATAATTGTTCAAGGTGTTTAGTACCTTGGTCTATTAGGGATAAACCCATTCACACATCTATAACTTATTTAATGAAATATAATATTTTAAGGGATAGAACTTTCACTGAATATCAATTGACAATTGGATGAGGAATTTATATGATACCAGTAGGCATCCTCAAGTGTCGTTATATGTCGAAGTGTCGACACTTGATACCAACTAATAGAAATTGAGCACCGAATGAAAATTTAGTTTTCTACGTAGCCAGATGTCCTCAAATAGTGGCAAATTGCCGACATGTGTTGACATTTGAACACCAATCAAAGGACAAAGTGTCATAGTAATATTACTATAGAGCCATCAACCCTATGCAGAAAGGAAGTAATCACTGGGAAGAAAGAGAAGTAGAGAGAATTAATACCAGGTCACTTGCACAAGGCTTGTGCTTGATGGTGGTGTTGCAGTTAGGGGCATAAATGTTGTAGATGTTAATGTCAAAAATGTCTGACTCCGCATGATCGAGGGCGTCGTCGCATGGTTTGGGTTGACTGGTGGTGTTAACTGAGAAATTGCAATATTTATGGATGGCATTGATGGTCTCGTCCGAGAGGATCGCATGGCTCCACAAGTACTCGTACAATTCTAGGCGGTCAATCGGAGCGTCGATCCATGGGTTACCAATCTGCAATCACATATACACAACTCAGTCTATGTGTGCGAAAAGTCGGATAAAGAAATTGGATCTCACCGTGATGCCTTTGAGATTTATGATGGTTTTTGCAGCCATTTGATTGTGCTTAACTACTTGATAAGCGAGTTGCGGAACATAGTGCCCTGCATAGCTCTCTCCTGAGATGTAGAAATCCCTGTTTTTGTATTCTGAGAATCGTTCGAACCAATTTAGCATGAAAGTGTAAGCATCAAATGCCGTTTTCTCATCACCACTTTCTGAATTCTCCGAGGTGGTGTTGGAGTAAGAGAAGCCAGTGCCAGCCGGGGACTCCAAGAACAATAAATTTGCCACTGCACCCATGTATTTACAGCTTCAAATATAGATTACATGATCTTTTAATCTTCATTTCTAATTAAATTTGTATGGGGGTAGTTTGATTTACCATTTGAATTAAAACTATTGGAAATAGTACCAAACGTAAATGAATGATGCAAATTTCAATCGTCTCACATGCAAGGTTTCTAAAACCGTGCTCCCTCCAAAACTCTACTTGAGCTTAGAGCGAATTGAGTTGGCCCAAACGCTATGGAAAAGAGTAAAATTTATTAAAAATAAATAAAAATAAAAATTTAAAAATAAATATTATTATCTCGAGTGTTAAAGTCAAAAATAAAATCCATTATATAAAAGAAGAAGTTTATATAACTATGAGACTCTAAACAATCAAATTAGGATGCACCTCAAAAATTTTACTAGAAGAGGTTATTTTGATACGCAAATATCCTCAAATTGATCATCTCGACCTCAAGATTCATGGACATTAAAAAAAATGGATTTCATAATTTGAAAATAGTGCATCTTGTAATACATTTTGGACTGTCAATTTTCAAGATTTTCAAATCTTCATAGATCTGCTCGATCTACACTATTTTTGAAGCTTTAAATTTTATAATTAAAGATGAAAGTATATTTTGAAGCTATCACAAATATTTCGAGTATTGAAACCATATTTTTCCACACTATTTGAAAGTGTGTTTTACTGTAATTGTTTAGATCCTTGGCCTTATACACTTATATAAATATAAATCTAAAAATAAAAGTTCAAGCAAAATTTTGAGTCCTATCCTCCAATCTTTGCAAATGGTGCAAATTCATGCTAGCAATGTTTGTCAGAGGGTCCTTGAGCTCCCCAGTCAAAATCCTCTAATCAGACTCAAGATTCAAGGTGAAACTTAATTATTTCGAGTTCTTGAAATTTTTGGGATAAATAATACTCTGGAATTCAAATCTCATAAATTCAATATTTTTATTGATCTTTTATGAGAAACAAGCCCATATTTCGATAACAAAACAAATTTTTGTCCCAAATCAAGCAATAATTGAGTAGCAATCACAACTTTTAGAATATGACCAAAACCTAATAATCTAGATTGATAATTTTCTTCCTCATATCCATAAAATCGTTTTTTTTTTCTCAAATATACAATAAGCACACCTGATTGGATACTTCAATGAAGTCAAATGAGGAAAAAGGGGTAAGATTTGTGCACCCCCTTTTATTTCGAAAAAAGGTGTTGAATTCGGTGAGTTCTAATAGACTCACACCGAGTTCGTAAGAAACTCTCCGAGTTTGGTTATACTAAGGCAAGTTACACTAGTAACTCTCTTGAGTTTGTCTTCAATACTGCAGCAATCATCCTTTAGCCAAGTTATGGTGCTCCGTACATGGATTCTATGTTGATGTGACTGTAGTGATTGTCCCAATGGAAAAGCATTCATCATTTACCCAAGTTATGGTGCTCCGTACATAAACGTTGCTGCTGTTGATGTGATTGTAGTTGTTGTACCAATGGATAAGCATAGTCATATCCCTTAACTATATTGACAAAGTGATATACTTCTATATGAGCAAAATTTGTTGGAATTATGGCTTTTACTCTTTTATTCAAAAACTCCAATTATTATGGGCATAAACATATTAGTTAACAATATCATGGTATTGACATGAAAAGAACCATGCATAGATATAAATATTACTAAGTCTTTAGCGGCTTAATTATTCTTAATAGGAGTTTTAACAACTACTAGGTTTTTAGCGGCCTAATTATTTCTAATAGGAGTTTTAACAGCCAAGTGATAGCTTGTCAAAACTCCCAATGTCTTTTAAGGTGAATAAAGATAGGAGTTACAATTTGAATCTCAACTATACAAAATCAAAATTGTAACTCCTATTTTTATTCACCTTAACAGGAGTTTTGAAAAGCTACAACCTAACCGTTAAAACTTCCATTAAGATTAATTAGTCTACTGAAGACCTAGTAATGTTCATATTGGCTCTTTCCATGCCAATACCATAAAAGCGCATGAAAGGCCTCAATTTCCAACAAACTTTACTTTTGGTCTTTTGAGCAACAAACCAATCTAGAGTATTTTGGACTCTAGAAGTAAGATGGCTTTAGAAAACCTGTTTGTCTGGCTAAAAACATTACTAGATACTAAATTCCGTGGTTCCAAGATAAGCAAAAATAATGCTTTTTGTGAACAACATGCATCATTCATAGACAATACCTATTTAAAATTGGTAATCGTAAAATTCAGAAAAAGCCTTTTGAATGATTGAGAGATTATCAGGGTTTATAGTTCATAGAAATTCACAAAACAAGGTTAATTCTACCA